AAAGAGAGAAGACCCAGAGGAGACCCTTGACCACAAGAAGGTACAGACCGCACGTCAGTGGCTCCCAAATGTGGCAGGCAGACAGCCCCCTGTTGAAAATGCCGATTCCCCGGGCTCCTGCCCGATACGTTGGATCAGGTGAGTGCGAGCTGGGCCCAGGCGATTCTGACGCGGGTGCTCAGCAGGCCGCCCTGCAGGAAGCCTCGCTCTGGACGGAGGCAGAACACTCCGCGGTCTACGAAACCAACGCCGGGAAGGCAGTGCAAAGTGCTGACGCTCGCAGGGCCCGGCTGCGCGTGCCTGGCTGGGAATGCGAGGGAGGCGGGAGCAACAAGGTGCAGATGTAGCCCCCGCTGCCCAACAGTGGATGGTCCCGAGCCAGACAGGGAGGCAGGCGACCAACTGCGCCTGGAGCAGAATAAAGCGCTGCTCCCAGAGGGCGCGCGGGGCTGCACGTGTCACTGACAAACGTTAACAGGGCCTTCGCCTCAAAGGAGCCATCGCTTTCCTCCATGGGGTAGGGGTCTGATCAGGTTGCTTTTTGGTTTCAAATGTCCCCGGGCCCCCCAGCCAGTGCCTCAGAGGGACTGTCCACGCTTCCCAGAAGAACAAGTCCACCCTCAGAGTCAGGCTCCTTTCCGGCCTCTCTTACCATCCACCTCCCTGCCCCCCCCCCAAATGCACACTCTGTGCTGAGGCCACACCTTGCGACCTAACCCCCACCCAAAATGTGCGACCAGGCCTCCAGGTCTTTGCTCCAGGACACTCCGTCTGAAGACCTGTCCTTGAGCCAGGCCCTCTATACCCGTCACTCGATGCTGAAGACTCAGGTGAGACGTCAGCTCCGGGCCGCCTTCCCCGGCACCTGTCTCCTCCTTCTCATCCCTCATTAATCCCTCCTTCTCCGTCCGCTGAGCACTTCGCTCCAACTACCACAACCGCCCCTCCTGGAGTCCTGGATGGGACCCCCAGGGGTAATAATGAAAGATGTGTGAGCTCCTTCCTGTCAGTATTCAAAACTCTACCTGACAGCCAGTGCCCCCAAGCAAGTCACCTGGACCAGCTAAGGCACCAAGTTTCCCCGTGTCTATTTGGAATTATACCAACCGAAGTTTACTAATAAAGAGGAAAGAAAATAACCACTGCAAGTGCAGGCATCTAGATGGTGCCAAATAAGCAGCTGTCAACTGAATAAATGATAAGAGAAATGTTTGCAGGCAAAACTGTCAAAGCTAGGGATGCACAGGGGGATATAACAAACCGTGGTCCCCTGTGTGCGAGCTCTACCGGACTGTGAGCATCTCAGAGGCCCCAGCCTCTCGGCTCCGTCATCCCCAGCACCTGCCCAGGCCCCTACCTAGGAAGCACTCAGAGAAGGATGTCGGCTAGATCGGAGGTGAGGCGAACGCCATCACCTGACAACGTGGCATCCTGAGCTCCCCCGCGGCTCCTGGAGGGACATCCCAAGGAGGGAGCCACCAGCAGCCCCAAGGAGACAGAGAGAGGAGAAGGGAGGGGCTGAGGGACACAGGGAGGAACTGCGGACCCCGTGCTCCCAAGTGAAACAGACATATCACCTTCCCCCGGGTAGGCATTTCAGATCATCACCATCACCTTCCCAGGATCCTTTCTGCAGCGCTGTGAATAAAGGGTTTTCCGAATTAACTGATCCTGGAGGGCACTGGCCGGCAGCTGTGAGAGAAGGGGGGCTGCCAGTAACTATTTAACACAACCGCTTATGTTCTTCCCAGCAACTGACTCACCACATCTTGTCCCCATGGGATCCAAAGAGCTAAGACTCCTCGAAATCGGTAATATGCCCTCATCCTCTCTCGTAGAGGATGTGAGCCACAACAGCCATCCCCGCACACACACGCTGTTGGGATGCCATCCCGAGAGTCTGATTTTAGAACCAGAGTGATGCCTCTCCCCACCCTGTGCTTGCTCAACAAGGTCCAGTGCTGGCTTTAGAGTCTGCAGAAATGCTCGCAGAATCCCCCTGGAATGCTGGACGGTCACAGGGTAGAGGAAGCCCACTGTGCTCCTGCCCCCTGCTCTGCCCGTGGTCCATACGTGACAGCAAAGGCGCCTCCAGACCCACAAGCTTCACAGTGCTACACGCAGCCTCAACACTGCACACCGTGCTGTGATTTTTCCCAAACACTGCGTTCCTCTAATTTACTTCCTGTTCAGTTAAACTCTCCGTGCCAGCTCTGATGTGCATTCCTCCTTCCTGATGTTCTTCCCAGTGATTTGAAGTTCCCAGGCAGGACCGTCCAACTGGCACTGAGCACCTCTCAAGCCATCTATGGAACACGCCTGGACAGCACCTTCTTAGGATCCTCAATCACCAAAATCTGGTCTACAAGCCAGGAACTGGCTCCTTAAGTGAGCCAGGGAAGGCTTCCGTCCCTACTGCCTGTGGGTCCCAAATGCACTTCATCTGCGCTAACTTAGAAGCTACAGGAGCATGTGGTGGGGTTCCTGCCCTCGTACAGAACAAATGTGGTCAGAGAACAGGTGCATCCATGGGTGACGTTTCCCCAGCGGCACAAGTTTGCAAAGTAAGATATCCGCCCCCCCCCCCATCGGATTATTCTCTTATCCTGGGATACAAATAGAGTAGAAATGCCAAGCAGAACAAGATGAATTATATCGGCTAGATTGGACCCAGCAGCGGAGAAACTGGGTTCCACTTTCCAAACCTACCCAGGTAAGGCCCTGCAGCAGGGACCGCCACCTTCATGAGCAGAGAGGAGTACGAGCTGCGGAACCTGGCCACAGACCAGCGCTGGCAAAAAAAGAATAAAACTTCCCCCACAAGTCAGCTTCTGTCACCTCACTGGGGGCTCATCAGAGAAAACAGAGGGTCACCTGTATCTGTGCCCTCTAAGCCTGTCCTTCCGGAAGTCGCCATCTGCCTGGTGATAACAGGTCTGCACATTCCAGATTCCAGCCCAGGGAGCCGCTCCCCGCCCCCCGCCCCCCCTCCCCCCGCCCAATATACCAAAGCTGTTCTTTTCAGGTAAAGGAGCTACAAGTTGACACACTGCTACTTATTTCCACTTCGATATGAAACCAGAGAATCAGCCAAAAGTGCCATCAACGCCCAAGTGTTTTCCTGGGGGTAAGAGCAGATTCCCCATTAAGTAATTAACACCCAGGGGAAGTTCAGAGAAAAGAATATAAACTGGCTGTCTGGTTTTTACATAACATCCTAAGAGGACGCAAGAAGCACACAAACAATAATTGCCTAATGTTCAAATCCACTGCACAGACCGTTCCATATTTGTAAACACCTCATAACTGTTTTGAGGAATTTTGAAGGAAAATCGGAAAACATTACGAACAGCACTGGACCCCTTCTGAACCTGAGAACTCCCAGCAGCATCCCGCCCGGCAGCCGCACGGCTCGCCGCACGCACCTTCCTTCCGCATCACTCAGCGTCTCCCAGCAAACGTTCAGCTCTGCGGGCCCTGAACACTTCATTTCCATCCCATGACAATCTAACCAGGCTTAGCCGATCTGCCCCCTGGAAGCCACCCGTCGGATCACACAGCAATCACTAGTTTTAATGTTTATTTCAAAGGGAGAAAAATAGAGCCAGAAGAGGGGAAAGGGCATTCCATTTTCCCAAATGCTCCCAGCCCCACTGAAGTTCTCCTGGGTCCTTGTTCCCACTGACAGCAACACTAGTGTTTGGGAAACGGGGGACAGAGGGCTTGCCTGCCCCTGGGCCCTTTCTGACGGTGGGAATAAAGACTCTGGGTGAATTTCATCCCTGGTAAAGAAAAACATGCAGGAAAGGGCATCTCGTCCCATGGGTGTACCCCGGGCTGCCCAGGACAGGAGTCCTCTCACTGCCTCCCGCCTGTGGTCGCTGACTCTGGGCTCTCGGCGGGGATGCCGACAGGGGCCTCCAGTTTGGGAGGCTCCGTGCGCTTTTCAATAAAGCAAACAAAGGCAACCTGGCAAATCCAGAAAGTTCATGCAACTTTAACATTTAAAATGTATCAGAAAACAACCCGAGAGGAGAGAGAACCTGACCGCTAATGGAGGGCCAGGTGCAGCTGGGAGCGCCTCGGGGCCAGGAGGTCAGGGGCGCTGCGGAGTGCGGCTGGGCTGATGTTTCGGGCTTGGGTCTGACACGGCAGGGACGCGACAGCTCCGTGGTGCTGGCGCCCGGGATGGCGAGGGGTGGAGGGGGCAGTGGGTAGCGGGTCCAGGTCGCCCACAGGGTCTGAAAGAGCCTGTGCCAGCGCTGACTCTCCCCGTTCCAAGATCTCTATTTTCGGGGACCGGACGTTCGGAGCCCCCGGGGTCATTTCGCTGTCGCCTCCGAAGGGCTCCCGCCCGCACCCTAACCGGACAGGACTCCGGGCGTATGGAGCCCGCACCCCGGGCTGCGGGCCCCCGACTTCGCGAGCCTCCGCAGCAACAGTTTTCCCTCCAGGCAAGAACCGCGAACGCCTCCTGGAAAAACGTTCGCCAGGACCCAGGGCTCTTAAAGGCAGGAACACAAAAGGACACCAAGCCTGGCCCTGGGGACGGCGGGGGGCCATGGGAGGTGAGCCAGGAGCTAAGGCTGAAACGTCGGGCTCAAGAACTCACAGAGAAGAAACTTCCCGAGGGCGTGAGCGAGGTGCGCATCCGCCTCCAGGGGAGAGCCCTGAACCTCAGGGCAAGTACACAGCCGGCGAAAGGCGCAGGCGAGGGGACCCGAGCGGCGGCTGGAGCCGCTCCCCCGCCCGCCGGTGGTGGCGGGAGTAGGTCTCAGACACGCGCACGCAGCTCCCTTCGCGCGGAGGTTCGCAGGCAGGGGACCAGGGGGGTCTTTTTTGGTCCCATTAAGACAAATCCCGGGCACCGAGCTGAGCGGGAACCGGGGATCCAGGCCTCGGCGGGACGCGTTAGCTCAAACAAAGTTGGGGCGCAGAGACACTCGGTGCGTGGGTCCCCGCGTCCGTGCGCCCCTGCCCGCGGGCGCGCCACTACTTACACGAAGACCCCGAAGAGCAGGGCTCGGACCCCTATCTCAATGGCCAGCTCACGCATGGTGCAGCAGGAGCGGATCCCGCGTAGGCGGCGGCTGGTGCTCTCCGCGGCTCCCGCAGCTCGGCCAGCGCCGGCTCGCTAGACCCGGGGCTGCGAGGGAGGCGCGCTCCAGGCCGCGGGCGGGGGTGGGAGGCGGGCACCGGGCGGGAGCAGGCGGCGGCGGGGAGGGCTCTACCCAAACCTCCCGCCTCAGGCCCCGGGACTCGGGGACGCCGCGGTAGCTCGCCGGACGCTCCCAGTCCCGCGTCCCCGCGCCGAGCGTGCGGCGCCCCCGGGACTCCCCGCTCCTGCGCGCCCAGCGCCGCCTCCGCTGCCGGGTTGGGGAAGCCCCGCCGCCGCCCCTGCGCGCTCCCCTGCTCCCCGCCAGTGGGCGGCCCCTGGGCAGCGCGCTCGCTGGGTCTTCGCTGCGTTCCCTCGGTGTCCCCGCGCTCTCCGGACTCCCGCTCCCTGGCACACGCACGCACGTGGGCAGGTAGTACAGGACGCTTTAGGGGTTCTCTGGCGCTCCAGGCAGCCCTGGCACCCGCTGTTCGTGCCGAACAGAGCCCCTCCTTTTCCGTTTTCTGTCCTCCCTACACCTTTGCAACCTGAATTTTTTTCCCCTTAGGAAGTCTCCCCTACGCCACTCGCAGGCTTCGTTTTGCCCTCGTGAAGAGCCAGCCAGGCGAGTCCCGGCCCAGACTGAAGGCAAAGGGGAGCCTGGCTGCTCGCCATGACGCCAGGTGACCCCTAGGGATGGGACAGGAGAGTCTGTGGGGTCTCGGGCGCGCTCTCGCGCGCTCGCTCGCGCTCTCTCTCTTTCTCTCTCTCTCTCTCTCTCTCTCACACACACACACACACACACACAGAATTTATAATTAAGGCAGATCCCTCTTAAGAATTGATAAGCGTTGCTCCCCATGAAAGGGCCTGAAGATGGCACGATTGGTGTCACAAATCCCACGAAGCAGCCCGCCATTCCAGGGGTTTGGAGGTGTCTGGTTCCAGCAGCTGCACAGCTGTGGACATGTACCAAATGATAGAAACTTCCAGAAGCGCCACGTTGCCGCCCCCGCTGATAAATGAATCGACAAAGGAGTGAAGAGCAAAGACAGGTTTGATAAAGCAATGCAGCCTCAGCACCAGGTGCCCAGCTGGGCAACCCCGGCTGGGTCTTCATGGCTCCCGTGGAATGTGATGTGTTCTCTGGTGAAGGAAGCATGGGGAGGAGGTTCTAGCAATCTTGTCATGAGAGACCAAATAAACATGTTTGCCCCTTGCTCGAACCTAAGGAGCACCGTAACTGTCAAGTGTGAGGCTGAGTTTTGCAAAATCACTTCAGAATGTAGACATTCGAATTTAAATGTCGCCTTCCCCCGCGCATTGGCGGCTGCACACCTCTTCAAAGTGCCACTTTGTGAACATCGCTTGTATTTCATGTGGAGTTTATGGGCAAGTCACCGAAATCACCTTCACCCCTGCACAGTCCTGCCTCTGCTGTTGGATTTTTTTTTTTTTTTTAGATAATCCCCAAACCGTGTTGTCCAGTATGTGGATCCCTTGCTGACCAGACTTTTGCTATTTTCCAAAGTCAAAGCCACCTTCGGAGAACACAACTTTGCAACAATTTCTTATAACCTCATTTCCAAAGGTTACAATTTGTATCTCACTGGCACCTGCCTCGCTGCTCCAAGAGTGGCCCTTACCTACCAAGACCCACACATGCAAGCTTTCTGGGGTTACCTGGTATCAACTTGCTGACATGCCTAAACCACCAACGATCCAAGAGGAATTTTAGAAGAGGTCTTCAAGTTCAACCCGGTCCATAAGTATCTTCCAGGAAGGTCTCAATAAATTTATTATCTGTCCTCTTGGGACACCTCCAGGCATGTGGCGCTCACTACCCGGTCCATTTCTGAACGGATTGGCTGCTGTTGGTTGAGCAGAAACAGACTTACCTGTAGCCTATATCCATGGGTCCAAAGGGTACTTTGTGGACCACGCAGAATAAAAATAATACCTGTTCGTCTACGTTATAGCCCTTTACTTATTCTCCAGCTGGAAAGATAGGAGGGCAGCGATGAGGATGGAGAGGGAGACAGAGGCGCAGGGGAGGGAAAGGGAGATGGAGACCGAGATGGGGGATGTGACCATTGCCGCTGGAGTTGGGAGGTGCAGTTGTGCCCAATGAGTAAATCTTGACTATGCCCCATCCTTGAAACCACGTGGATTGAGAGTGAAAATCGTGTGAAGTCCTACACTACTTATTACCAGACGAAGGATGAGTGAGTATTGGGGAGGCAAATCTCAAATGCCCACCACACAAGCCGCCCAGCACAGGGCTCTCACTAGAAAGCAATGGCCATTAGAACAGGGCCTGTTTTTACATACGCTGCTGTGTCCCATAGAGAAATACCTGGCACAGAGCAGGTACTCAGTAAATATTAACATTTGGCATACCGACAGACACCCGGATGAGCCTCAAGCATTGGGAGAATATGGCAAGTAGGGTATCACATGATTTTGTTTTGCTCATCTCTGCTTTTGTCCAAACAAGGATTTCACGGAGGAGTTGGGTCCTCAACAACATCCTGTGGCTGTGTCTCTTCATGTTAAACCACGTGTCTTAAAGTCCATTTGCCACTTGAGTTTAAAACAGACAACACATGTTATTTTCTATCATGGCACAGATGACATCGATGAGTTCCCGTGTGCGTATACACATATATACGTGTATGTGTGTGTGCGTGTGTGTGGAGAGAGAGAGAGAAAAAGAGATTGTATCTTGGAGTATGACTTCTAAAAAACATCTTTCCATTCTTTATTCCCCCTCGAAGAGATTAGGAAGAGTCTATTGCCAAGAACAATGTGTTTAGAGGCATGACAGATGGATACATGCGCACCTTGACACAATGGCCAGCCACCACCACCAGTGACCAATAGGCAGGCCTCTGGGTTTCCAGAGCTGTTAACCGGTCAGAATACAGTCTTGTCAGACATAAGACCACCCCTCCTGGGAAGGAAGGCTGCCTTGTCTGACTTCTAGTAGCCTTCTTCTCCGGGTATGAGACCCAGAGTGATGGGGTTTTCCAACCACGGTGTCCGTATAATGCTGGGATTTTAGGGAGTGTGTGAACTCCCATAAATTGTTTGTAAAATTTGGGGTATTTTTCTGATAAGAGAGTACATAATATTTATCTGACTCTAAGGAAGCTGGCATCACACAAAATCAAGCTAATAGGGATGAAAGCCGAGATAAGATTTGGAGAAATCAGACCCCTCTGACGTTGATAAGGCCCTGCGGCAGCAACACTGGGACCGCCCAGTCCTGTAAGCCTTTGCCGCAGTCCTGGTTGTGGTTAAGACAGTTTGATTGGTTTTTGGGTTGTTTTTTTTTTTTTCAGGCTTTGAGACCTGATTGGATCATTAAAATCTATGAGATCAATGTTCGTCAGATACCTCCCAGGTGCCCAGCACTGTGAGGGCTACATGGGAAAACCCAGGGGGCATCGCCGCTGCGAGAGCTTCATTAGGAAAGCCAGATCGACACCCCTAAAGCAAGACGCTCAGGACTCAGGGCTACCCTAAATGGCACAGACAGTGGCAAAATAGTGGAGCGAGGCTATTCTGTCGATCCATTGGCTGTAGAGCAGTGTTCCGTTCCGGACTGCCTCACTCCTTCCTCAGCTTCCAGTGGTCAAACATGTGACCAGGAATGGTCAGCAGGGACAACAGGAGAGGGGGTGCCACCAGGACAAAGCCCGCCCCTTCCCATTTTACCTGGAGCTCATCTCCTTAGTTAATTCACAGGTCTGTTCCGTAACTTTCCGGGACACAAGATGCTCTGACCCTTGAGTAATAAGTGATATTCACGTGATGGTTCCCCCTTGTCCACGCGAAGGGTGCTGAGAACGGGCACCAGAGCTCCCCTTGTCCCAACCTTTGTCCAAATAATAAAGTACCAGCCCACCCTCCCTTTCAAGTTCATGATCATTAGATCTAAACACCGACAACATCCTTCGTCTACACAGGGAACAGGCAAAATGGAAATACCAACAGCCCAGAAGGTTTTCTTCACTTTTGTCCTGGAGATGAAGCAGAGGATTAAAACTAGGCCAAGGTCCAGTGGCCCCCAGGTAGGGCAGCCAGGTATCCCTGTGATCACGAAGTGCCACCTCCAAAGCAGGGGCTCCAGCAGAGGGGTGCGCCACTGAGTGGGTCAGCCACCGGTCACCAACAGAAACACCCCAAGAGGAATAGACCTGCACTGACAACGAGTGCACTGTTTTTCCTGCAGACACTTAAACTCCCAAAGGATTCTCGGTAAAGAGAAAAATTGAGGGAAGTGGGACGTGCGGGAGACAGACACTGTATATTCTGCACATCAACCAGCTCCTTGTAAAAATGGGGAATGTGATTGGACGTGATTCCTCACCAATTTTTATCAGCATTATGTAGACAAAAAGACGCCCAGTGTTTAGAAGAGAACGGCCCTCGTTCTCAGCCTTTCCTTCTCTGTGCCATTAGGGACAGTTAATGCATTTGTGGAGTGATGGAGGACGAGCTCGATAAGGCCTCCGGAGTCGGACAGACCTAGGTTTGAACGCCCCTCTTGTTCTCTGTCTGACCTCGGGCAAGTGATCTAGCCTCTCCTGGTTCGGTCTCTACGAAAAGGTTATGGTGATTACACCTGCCCGGCAGAGCAGTGGGGGCGCCACGTGAGACCGAGCAGAGCACTCCCAGGGCGTGGGAAACGAGCCGCGGGTTGTAACCAAAGGAGGCGGGGCCTGGCGTTTCTGCTGGCTGCGGGCCAGAACACGGTGGCTCCAAACCTGCCTCTGCTCCAGCGGCTGGAGTTTTAACAATATTTCAACCGCTTCGACACGTGTAGGAAACAGGAACGTGCACCTGCCGAGGCGGCCTACTAACTCTCGGCCCATCGAAGTTCGGCCGGTGAGCGACCTGGTGTGGCCGCCGAAGCTCGTTTTTGCAGGGAGGCCTGACCTTCGCGTGAAGGGGGC